TTTTTTTAAGATTAAGGATTGCAGTCGTAAGATCTAATGTTGAAGAGCCATTGATCTTAGACTCAGCAGAAAATCTTTTCACACACATACACACACACTAAGGGCTATTTAGAATCTTGGTTTTTTTTGGTGGGAAAAACGGAGTTCCCCGAGTAATCCCAGCTCTCAAGATTCACAAGCTGTGAGTGAGTGTGAATGGTTGTTTGTGTCATTTGTCTCTATGTGTCCCTGTGAAGGACATGTGACGACTTGCAACCTGTCCAGGGTGTCCCCGTCTCTCGCACATTGATGGCTGCACATGCACACCAGTTACACCCGTGACCTGAAAAGGAAGAAGCAGTAAAGATGATGGATGGATGGATGGATAGATGAGATTAAGGCTTTGAGTCATTGAGCCTAATGTTGAAGAGTCTGTAGAAAGTCTTCACACACACTAAGGGCAATTTAGAATCTCATATTTTTTTATTGTGGGAAAAACCGGCATTCCCGGACAAAACCCAGGTGTTAAGATTCTCTAGGTGTGAGTGAGAGTGTAGCCTAAAGATGCTGATGGATGGATGTGTTTCCATTAGCAGATCGGACAGTTTACACATCTTTTCTTTGACTTCTTCTTCTTCTTCTTTCCACTCTCCAAGCTTTCCATCTGTTGTTCTACAGTGGCCATTCTTTCCATGAGCCTCTGTGCAGCAATTTTATTGTCTGCATCCTTCTTATTTAAAGCCTCCTGAAGTGATGCAACTGTGGTCATGAGGTGGGATCTTTCTTTCGTCCACACCTGCTGTTCATGCTGCAGAGTTTGCTGCAACTTTGTCTCTGCTGCTTTCAAAGTTGCCTCTGTTTGTCGATGCTCAGACACAAGACGGGACATCTCTTTCTTCTGCTGCTGATGTTCTTGTTCGAATGCGTTGCACGTTTCCTTCAGAGTTAGTCTTAACTGGGAAACTTCTTCTGTCTGCTGTGTCAAGAGATCTTTGGCCTGTGCTGCCTTACTTTTCTCAGCAGTAAGAGCTGCTTCTAGGTCAAAGCTTCTTTCCACAACATTCGAATATTCTGCACTCTTGTTCAGCAGAGCTTGTTGTTTATCAGCCAGGACTTTTTCGTTGTCGACTTCGAAAGAGTCTAGCTGCTGTTTTAGAGTTAACGCTTCTGTTTTTAGCTTGTCCATTTCCACAGTGTGGTTCTGGGTGTCTTTTTCCAGTTGGACATCTTTTTGAAGCATTTCAGCTTTGAGCTGCTCTTTCTCCTCCAACAGCTTTGTAAGAGAGTCCTCAGCTTCCTGCCTTTTAGTCTTTTCCCCAGTTAATTCCGACTCGCACAGTAAAATTTTCTCCTGAGCTCCAGAATGCATTGCCTCCATTCTTTTAACTTTTTCTTGGAGAAACTTCAGTTGTTTGTGGAGTTCATCGTTCTGGCTTTGTAAAGCAGAAAACTGGTTGTCTTTTTCAATTAGTATTTCAAACACTTCAGATGCAAAGAGCACACTCCTAGTAGACTCTTCCCGACATCCTGTAGTGTTTTCTGCAGCTTTTTCTGAAGTTCTAACCAGAATCTTCTCAACTGAATTTTTCTGTTCTGTGGAAGATTGTGGTTCTAAACTCAGAGAAGGCTGTGGCCTTGGAGATGGGCCAGCAGCGCTGCTGCTCCCTGCAGACGTATTCTGAACCGAACCTGACGTTTCAGATGTCTTGACAGGTTTTGACGTTGCAGACAGAACATCTGCAACGCTGTTTCCAGGGACAAGCTGGTAAGTTTCTTTAACAAGTGCAGAGCCCGACATTTTGCTATCATGAACTTCAGAAGTAGATGGTTGAGAAACATCTGCTTTGACACGCTCAATGATAGCATCAGCTTTGGGCACATCTGCCTTGGGAGTCACAAGTAAACTTACGGGAGAATCCATCTGACGTCCAGTGGAAATTTCAGAAGTTTGCTGATTTAATGAACAGTTCTCTTGCAGAATTCTCGTTCCTGGACGTTGCCTGTTAGCAAACAGAGGATGGATCCTGGGAATACGCTGTGGCTTTGGAGCCGGGGTATTTCCAACGCTTTGTCCAGCGACTAATTGATTTTGGTTTTCTAAAGACTGAGATGTCTGAGCTGAAGCTGAAACTTCACATGTCTCGGCAAGTTTGGACTTTACAGCCAGAGCATCAGCGAAGCTGTATCCTGCAACTAATTTGTTGGCATTAGCAGGAAACTGGGTAGGAGGCTTTTTCTCAACGATGTCACGTTCTCTAGAAATATCAAGTTTGGCCATAGACTGAGTGGATGTACTTTCCATATTTGGCGCGTGTTTTTGGCTTGCGTCAAATTCAGTCTTGGGCTGGTTGGGTGAAAATCTTTTAAACCTTTCACCATCAAACTTTTTGACGTATCTAGTCCGCTCTTTGCCATTAGGAAAAAGTGACATTTCAACACCGAAACGTACTTTCCGTCTGATTTTCTTTCGTTTAATTAGTGTCCACTGATGTTCGTTAATGTCGACCGAGCTGCTTGCCTCTAAACATGCAGGCTCTCTTCCTGGCAGAGCTGGGAAATTGTTGGGATCCATCACCGCAGACATTGGTTTTTCTGAATTATCAACATTTACAGTTGATTCTTCAGACTGCGTGTGGTCAACCCTCCGTTTAAAACGGGAGTTGATAAATGCACGTTCTCCTCTTGGGTTGTGGGAAGACATTGTTCTTTTTGTTGCCACGATTAAACGCCTTTCTTCAATAAGATAAAACGAATCGTTTATGCGCCGTAAGAACAATAATGTCAAGATGCGTTCGCTCTGCTTCTCCAACAGAAATGACTAGAAATCAAAGTCCAGCCTGTATATATAAAATTTGTCCTATGACATCATCATGACACATCAAAGGTCTGACTTAAGCTCCGCCCACAGATTAACACTACAGATGTCAACATGGAACACTTGGCCTCTTTCATGTTACCTAGCAACAAAGCTCTCAGGAAAGATCAAAAACAAACATTCTCTACAAAAATGTCACAGAAATGCAGAGTTGAATGATTTCTTTTTTTATCTGTTAAGGTTGAAGAACTATTTTATTGCTTAATTGTT